CAGAATCAATAAAGAATTAAAGGTTTGACCTGGACCACGACTGTTTTTTATCATTCTAACTTCTTTCTTTTTCTTTATGGAATCATATAGACCATATCGGTCATGTACTGAAAACTTTAAATAAGGGCCTGTGGGCTAAATAGTCTAAATATTAAGAACTTAAACAAACATTTGAAATATAAACACATTTCAACCTGACTAAAGCCCTTTCTTCCTTTGAATATTTCTTAGAACTGAGGCTTCGTAAAAAAATTGTAAATGTCTGACAAGTTGGCCCAGTTCTTGAGCTTTGGGGTTTGTCCTTTTTGTTTCCTATTTTTCTTTTCCAGGGCTGGATTTTTGGTTGGTCCAGAGGCCTGGGACCACTTAAACTGAACGCAGGAAAAGCAGCGGAGAGGAAGAGCAAGCTATTACATGGAGCAGTGAGGGAATGATGGGTGCGAATCGGAAAGAAAGATGAGAAATAATGGAAAAGAAAGGAAAAGAGCTGAAGGATGAAAGGATAGGGTTCGCCCTACATTCCAGCAACTCCCGCGTCTCCAACAGACTCCCGGTGACAGATTATCCTGCTCCGCCTAAGAACAACTAACACCCGTCTGCATGTAGGCATCTGGGCAACGCTGACTGAGAAAACAAACTCATTAATTCACAGGCTGTAAGCGAAAAAACAAACACAAGCCTTCACTCTAGGATCTAATGCAATCTGATCAAAATAGGACGCTGATGTGAGTGTTTGTGCTTTTAACTGCCTTTGGTAAGACAAAGTGAATATTGTATTAGACAGTGTGTGTGTGTGTGTGTGTGTGTGTGTGTGTGTGTGTGTGTGTGTGTGTATGAGAGAGAGAACAAACAAAAACACAAAAGAGATTCAAATGAATAAAAGAAGCAGGCAGATTGAAGAGAGTAGGGAGACAAATGAAGGACATGCAGTGACACTGAGAGAAAGACAGAGAGAGAAAGGCATGATGGGAGGTTGGGCTCTGCAGAGGTCTGGGAGTCCAGCCAACCACACACATACACACCCACGCACACACACATCACCCACCTCAACGCTTTCGCGCTATCACCTAATAAGACACATGAAAACGGGCACATTCTCACTGTTGTTATTTAGAGTTTGCATTGAATCTGACCCAGGGTCAGCTGTGATTGGCTCCAGCTAACCAACTGTGACCCTTAAAGGTTCAGTGTAAGCTTTAGATGAGAGGGATCGATTGGCAGAAATTGAATATGAAATAATCCTAGTGTTGTTTTCCCTAATGTGTGATCATCTAAATACAAAATGTAAAAAAATAATAGATAGATAATAAAATAAGCTTGAATAGACCCTTTATATTTAAATACTTTATATTTACATCAGGAGCGGGTCCTCTCTCGTTTTTACAGTATTCCAAACTAGACAAACTAAACACCTTTTGAGTTTTGGAAGTGAAGGATGAAGGGAGGGCTATTCAGCTGCAACATGCAATTTCACCACTAGATGTCACTAAATTCTAGACACTGAACCTTTAAAGGATACGCAGTATGGATGATTTTCTCTGAACATATTAAAGTCTCATAATTACAGCATCAAGGGGAAACAAATAAGAAAGAAGCTGAAAGAAGAAAGAAGCATAAAGCAAAATGACTGAATTGGTCAAGACACATGAGGTAAAACTATCGGCTGGATGACATGGAAAAGTTAGGTTAGTTAGATAATTAGATTTAGTATAGTTATCGATCCACTGTAAAAGAGTGGATTTTAACATGTACTGTATTTGGGGCCCACAAGTATTCAAGTAATATAATGTCTAAAGAAGATTCACTCTACATCTATTTACCTAATTTCAGTCTGAAAACTTACGTTTGAAATGTTTATTGCAGCAGCGGAACATAGGTGGAGTTTGGTGCCTAGGCTCGACTTCATCACTTCCCAGATAAATTGTGTAAATATAAAGGGGAGTGATGAACGAATATATTTGGCCCCCTGTCAGAGCTACGTGAGGAGGTGGGCTGGTGAGGGGACAGGCAGCGATTCTGACGCAGGGCAGCAGAGGCAGAGAAAAGGGAGAGATGGGAAATCTTTGCAGCTTAAATAGAGTGCCAAACTGGAAGCTTGTGTATAGAGTGAGAGTGAGGAGAGTGAGGCATGTGACATCATTTGAGCAAAAACTAAATCTGCTGACTGCAAAGTCTAAATTACACAAAAAACCAGGAAAGGAGAGCAGTGGAGCACAAGTAGCCTGTTCTAATAGTTGGCAGGTAAAATGGCCTTCTTCCTGTTTGAACTTCCACCCACTAATTGATTGAAATGAGATAATGACAGCTTTTCCTGTCACCAAATTACCTCTACGTCCTTCGGGAATACAAACACCCTGTGGGCTTCTCCGGGTTTAATGAAAAAAGGGAGTGAAGCGACAGCCAAACAAACACAAATGAAGAATGCTGATGTGAGAAGGAGGAGCGAGACATTCGACTGAACAGAGAGAAGATTAGACACATTAAGAGGTAAACAGAGATTTACCATTGGTCAGGAGACAAGAGATAAATGGAATTGAGTCACTGAGTACTTATATACATATAAAACAGGTTGAACTGTGGGATCATATTTGGGGTCATGCAGACAGGAAGTGTGGAACTACGGCGATCTCGATAATGAGAATCTAATAGGCTGAGTTTCTTCCCACACTCCTCATCTTGCATGTGAAATGAGAGTTGAGCTTTTGTGTTTTTATGAAACAGCAGTTTTATATGGTGTTGTTTATTGATCTAGCACAGTGGAAATGTGGGAGACTGAAAAGAGACTTTTCATGTGTAAAACACACTGAGTGAAATTTGGGCGCTGTTTTTTCCACCTCTTGTGTTTGCCCAGGGCACAACTTTGTTTGCTCAATAACAGAAGTTCCTTCCGCTCTGCCTCAGCTCCTCAGTCGTGTTGCACTATTTCCTAATTATTAACTCTGTGCCAAAATTGATCCAGGAAACTCCACAAACTCACAGAGTTACCTGACAAAATACAATGAATGTTATGGAATAACATGCAGGAATAACCAACAACTCTCAAGATGTTGAGACACGTGAAAAGTATGACACGAAATCAAGGCAAAGCAACAAACACAACTAACTTTGAAACTACTCAGTGTATCTCACAACACAAGAGTGTTGAAACATCATGCCAACAATTCTGCTGTTCCGCCTCAAGCGAGTGGTGCAAGAGGAAAGGCCATAGTGCCAATCAAATAACTTCCCATGAGAGCAATATTTCATGGTCATTTAACTATTACAAAATTTTTTGGGCAAGGCTGATCGGCCTGGATATGTCACAAGAGGAAACATTTCAGCATGTTTAAAAATGGCAACAGTTTTGGTGCATAAATGTGCTCAATAATTTCTTTGCAATTTTTCTCACTAGATTTTGATATTTCTTATGCTCAAATGTAACATTTTGGCCCAATGGTAACACTAGAGGAAAGGTCAGAGGTCTCACCCTCATAAACACCAAGTGTAATCCTCTGTTGGTCTCGAATATCTAAAGCAAAATGCTGTGATCTGATCAGTAATTTTCAAAATATCCAAATGTTGGACAGATGGTTAAACTGAAAACCCACCACCATTCCCAACCTCAGACCCTGCTACCAGCAGAGCAGAGACAAATATGTGACGTAAAGGGTTGATCGCACTTTCTGCCTTTCATTTCGGCTGAGAGTTACATACTTGCTCGGTTCTATTTATGATAAAACGAATTCTGCTGAATTCTTCTGTTCCAGCAGGTGGATATATTGTACCTGGAGTGGGCACAGTTGACATGTTCAGTTAGCGTGATCCCTCACATTCTACTCTCCTTAAGGTTTCTTCATTTTGCTGTAAGTTCGAGGGGTTATGGAGTGAGGACGTCACACCTCGTACAGACTTTTATTTTTATTGCTCTAAGGCAAATTGCCATTTATGAATGTGGGCCATAAAATGTGATAGTTTTAAAATTCAAATTCCACATTATACCTCATGTAACTGCTTTTCTGTGGCCTATAACCCAAAAATTTGTTCAACATCCTTTTCTATTTGTCAACTTTGATTACTTTATCAGTCTCTCACTCTCTCTCCCTCCCTCCAGGCAGTGTTTCCAGTCCAGGCAACAGGAAGAGCAGTTCAGACGATGACTTTTCTCCTGAAAACGGGAGGAAATCCTGTGTGATATCTATCGCTGATGATGATTGCAGAGCTACTCATGGCCTGAGTGAACCGAACAATGAGAACAACTGGCAACAACACACACACACACATACACAGTCCTCCGGCGTTATTATCACCAGTGTGAGTCATGTCCAGCAGCAGCAGGGTTTAAATTACAGAGGAGGAGAGAGGGCAAATGTGAACGAGCCAAAAAAGATGCGTTATATGGCAATGATGCAACTTTGGAAAGAAATCAGAATTTTTTACCCTGTGAGCAATAACATAGCAGCCAATAAATCAGTGCAATCATCCTTTCACCCTCAGTGTAACAGCAGAGACCTGAAGACAGGTCATTAACCAGGTTTGACCTAATGTGAGAGAACTGCTTTATACTAAAAACATCCAAACTGTGCTGGATAACAGATTGTATAACATCCTTCCTAACTATTCCTTCGTGGTTGTCGCCCTATAAACTTTTATAATGTATCCCACCGCAGAGAGATGAAGCTCCGCCAGATCCTCCTCCTGTGGCTGGATACCATGCCTGCACTGCACCGCCGCTTCATATCCTGGAGACCAGGCAAATTAACGCACATGGCAAAATACACAAAACAGTAGCCAAAACATCGACTTCAATTCAACGCCTCCAGCCCGGACCACCATGAAGAGAATGTGAGTAGTGCACAAATAATAATAAAAAAGAAAACGCCTCAAAGCTTCGTAAACAGGAGGATGTTGAGTTGATAAATGCGTAATTACTGAAAGGAAAAACAAAGAAGACTCCAAATTATTCACATGAGATGATCACGATCACTAAATGAGATAGATAGATAGATAGATCACTTAATTACCTTTATATGTTAGTCTCAGCCGTGGTACATTTAACTTGGTCGCTGAGACGATGGTGACAAGTAGCGCAACAACGTGGAAGAAATGCGTAAATTCCCTCATTCTGCTTGAGATTCAATGCATCTGTCTTCAGCTGATTATTTCAAAAGCACCAAATTCCAAGAGAATAGAGTTGGGGGTGAAAAAATGCGTTTTCAGGTAAGTTCCCCCGGTGCGTGAAAAGGGTATTCTGCGTGTCCACTCCACAGAGCGACTGGTGAGGTGATTCAGTGACTGCGCTCTACAGACTTGCGCTCCCTCACTCAGCTCCCAACAGTCCCTGTTTCAGCAAAAGGGAGAATGAGAGAGAGAGAGAGAGAGAGAGAGAGAGACCACGCCTTTAAAGCATAGCGAGAGAGAGAGAGAGAGGGAGACATGCGCTCAGTCAAGCACAGCCAGGCGCACTTGGCGGCGCGCTCCTAACGTGAATCACAGCACTATTTCAAAATCATCTGGGAGTGAGGTGCATTGAAAAACATGTGATACCACGATAAACGCGTAGGGAGGCCACGGAAACAGTTCAGCTCCAAACTAAATCTTAAACAATGAACAGAAAAGATGCTTTGACTAACAGGAAGAGAATGCACCTCTCTGTTCAGACTGATTCAAAAGTTGTAGATGGGTTAAAGGAAAACTCGTAATGATCAAGCTCTTTTCTATGTGTTGTGAAATAGAGACTTAGTCTGATTCCTGTATTTTGGGTGACCTGGCACTTTTATGCTCCACGTATGAGGACAAGCTTCCAGAGGACTGCAGGTGTGCTGACACTCTCAGTTCTTTTCAGTCAATGCAGAACACTGCCTTTTATTTAATCCAATAATTACTACTCTCTTACACTGCACTTTTACATGCATTCATTCATTCAGTAATCTATCGCTATGTAACTATTTTTAATTTCTTTTTAAATAGGTATTTTTTGTTTTATCTTGTGTTGCCACGATGCCCTTTATATTTAACTACAGTGCCTGTTCTAAACCTGCCTGTTTGTAATGTTCTGTTCTCTCTTCCTGTATTATTGCTCTGCAGCTCCTTCAGAATTATTCCTTGCCTCAAACAGTTCTACAATATACCATCACTTTTTATCATTTGTGATGTTTTGTAACCTTTTGTAACACATATATAAATATATTTTCAGTCTATGGTGCAGAGTGAAGTTGGAAAACTTTGTTTTCATCAGTCAGTGGGGGCAGATATTTATCTGTAATATCTGCCCCCGCTGACTTCTACAGAGCTGGCTGCCAGATTATTCAAACTGTACTAATATGGAACATATCACAATTCCAAATCACACTAAACTTGGTACTGCACTTCCTCGGGCAATTACTAATACGCATGGCAAGAGTGAAGCTGATGAGACGAAAGGTTCTCAAGATATACATTCCACAGACAGAAACAGAGACAGAGGGACAGAGAGACAGAGACAGATGTTGTAGAACTTGGTAGATGAAAAGCACCTTGATTTGCCTTGTTGTTGAAGTGTACTTCACAAATAAACTTGCCCTGCCCCGCCTTTTAGCAAGTTGTAGGCCTGTCGGACAACTGATGAAGAAAGACGTCACTCTATCTGACTTTTTAATGAAACAAATGCATAATGAAGAAATGAATGAATGAAATATAACAAGATGAATAAACAAAAACTGAAAAAACATGTATCTCCCTGTCAGCTGTGAGCCCTCGGCATACTTGGCCTTCCTTAACCCCTTCAGTGGGATGCTCACTAGGACGTGCTCAGTAGTTTAATTAAGTTGAGGGGTACCTTCTACACAACCCCCCTCCCGTGTGCATCTATTCACAAGCAAGCCTACAAGTGAGCACAGGGGTCACGGCAGGGTGATAGAGAACCATTGAGGGTGTCAATGTTACCCCGACCCCGAGTCTTTTGGGAACACTTGTTTGTCGGAAGAAGGTTCTCATACATGTTTGATAAAGGCTCCGAGGCAGAACTCGGGGAAGGAGCGGAGCGTCAAAGTGTCGGTGGGAACGCCGGGTGCTCGAGATGACAGCGTGTCATGTAGCTGTGCTGAGGGCTTCTTTTGTCAACTATCTGTTCATTCATGTTGTGAGGAGTATCCCTGCCCTGGGGTGAGACAAAGAGACGGTCCTGTGTTCTATAAGGTTTGATTCTCCACAGTTATTATATATCTCATCATACATATTGTAAAAGAGTTTGATTGAGATGAAATGGATCTTTGGTAAATGTTGAACTCTTAGCCTCAATAAGATGTGTTATTTAGAGAAGAAAATATCCAATTTCCTATCATACAATTATAATACATTTGCATAAGAAAAGGCATGTGCCCATAAAATCTTAGATAAAAAACTGGATTTACATATTGATATCTAATCATTCTATAACCAATATGTTTTTTATCTCAATTACCTTATCAGTGTCCACTAAGTAAAGAAAAAAAGATAAGCGCCTTCAGAATAGTGCATTAAGTATTGTAAACGTTATTGCAGCATAAACAAAATTATCAAATTACTACAATGCTGACAACACACACTCCAACTCATTCCAGTGGTACTGTGCTTCTCAAAATTAAAATCAGGTTTCGAGTAACCACAAGCGCATACTGATGCAATAAAGATGTTGCTACTTGTCTTCAGGCACGTTTTTCTTCTTATCTTTTAGATGACAAACATGTTTGAAATGATTTTGCTGCGCCATCATCAGAGTCTCTGAAATATTATCTGCGGTTTCTGTGTCTGTTCTTGTTTAGTGCCATCAAGCGAAATAAATAAGGAAATCAGATACAGTGGCACATAATGTGAAAAGCTGTGTGGAGGCCAGAGCCTGCCAGTGGGGTTTGGGTGAGTTTCATGTTGTTTGTCATCATTAATGTGGTATTAATCTACTGCTGCCAATGCTGTTTTCAGATATTTAAGACTAGATTGAGAATCCAGACTGTTTTGGATAATCATTTTACTCCTGGAAAAACAAGTTAATTCATTCTAAACCAAACAACTGATTATGCAGCCTTCAAGTTCAAATGTTTAAAAACTGTCTGTGATGTATTTATTCTGTTTATATGTTGATTATGCATGCATAAACCAAACCAAATGTGGCTTATTGCACACAACACTTCAAAAGAAATCTAGAGTAGTACTTGTCTTTTTCCCAAAAAACAGTGAACATACATGTTATTTGCTGCAGAAAAACTTACAATTTAAATTGCATTTGCAATCATTATTTTTTTCATCCAAAAACAAAACAAAACCACAAGTGATTTCAGAAATCAGTGACTGCTGGTTGTTTTTTTTTTGAGTGAAAAGCTCTTAGCTGACTTCTGAATGGATGACACTTGTCCACATGTTTTTGAAGGACACGCAGACGTGGGAACATAGCAGACGAGGAGGCCACAGGCAGTGCGAGTGTTCAAGAGCTGAATTAATGAATTTGTAAAACAGCAGCCAGCTTGAGATCCCTATTCTTGTGTGTTCCCTGTATTATTTCCAAAGAACTGGTAACTGGAAATGCCTCTTTAGAGAAGAAATGCCTCTTTAGCCGCAGGACGGCAAGAGGAAGACGAGGAGCATGGGCTGATTAGACAAAATGAATTTCCCTTTGCCCTGTTTTACTCTCCCCTTCTCTCGTTTTCTCTGTAAATTCCACAGTGTCATTACCAATCACAGACAACAGTAATGTGAGTTTCAAACATGGTGATTGTTCTTCAAAACCCCACATCAGATCTTCCCGTGCCTCAGTTCTACCATCCAAACTCTCAAACAATGTAATTCAGTTTGAAGGCAGCAACGCACCTCTCAGAATTCATTGTGTTTAAGAACTGCGGTCAATTGTCTGATTGAATTGTCCTGTCTGAGCAAAGGACCTTCTTTGCGCCTCACAAAATCCTACTGGGGCCGAGTTATGCTCTTAAAGCTGTCAGTGGAGATGAAACGCAAGAGCACTTACCAGCATCTTGACATTGCATCACTTTGACAAATCAGTCTGGCGCTCTTTGAGAGGTGATTGGGAATGGCAGGGCAGAAGTTCATGAATTCACAATGTGGGAGGCATGGGGAAGAAGTAGTGGATGGAGAACAATTTTTGAGGCACAAGACAAGGAGACAGCTGGGGTGTTTGTGTGTCTGCCTGAGGGCTCATTAATGTTTCATCTTTCTTGGCCCTGAGAAGAGAAACCCAGATAATGGAATTGACATGAGAAGTGACAGTGAAGGACAAAGTCACAGCAAGTGGAGAGAGAAAAGGGAGGTTTGAGACAGAGGGAGTGGAAAACAATGTCCAGTGTGTTGTACAATGACCTGCGTCGACACACAGGAAGCTCCAGAATGAGCATTCACAGCTGTGAGCAGTGCTGTCAGCATCAGAGTAGTACACAGCATTAGGATTAAAACTCAGTAGTACTGCATGAACACATCACATCATCATATAATGACCTTGTCGGAAAATAAAGTAATTGCTTCCATTGTCTTGACCGACATTCTAGTGTGCTGATTTTCAAATGCAATGAGAAGATTCTCATGAAAAAACTAGAAGGGAACTCGTGAGGTAAATACTTCTGCCAAGTCTAACATAATATCTTGTAAAAGAAAGTGAAAGAAATCTCCTGGATTTGCTCTCTTTATCGCATCCACTCCAAAAGTTAATGCGTTCTTCCCTGACACATATCCCAGCCTTCAGAAAAGTTTCAATAAAACACTGCAGCCCTCAGGAGTACATATCTTCACCAAGGTCCAACAGTCCCCTTTGATTCAGTCAAGCTGCAGCAAATTTCACACACTCATAACTATCCGTCCCCTGTCTTTCTACCTACATCCATAGAAATAAAAATATGAAAATATTTTAGAAAAATGAAATATAAAAAACCCCACAAAGGGGTTCTTCCTTGGCCTACACCTCACCCCTCCAACATATTCCAATGAAATCAGTTGAGGATGCTGGGATTTTAGCCGGGAAATTGGTGAAAACGTCAGAATTTGCAACATTAAGTAAAATTAAAAAAGATGCACCAACATTTATCGGGTTCTTTCCTGACCCATAGTGCGTCATTCTACTTAGTGGTAATCTGTCCAGTAGTTTTTGTGTAATGCAGCTAACAAGCAAAGTAAGCAAAAACATATCCTCCCTCTTTAGCCTAGATCAACATAAGCAGTTGCCCACTGTGTTTTAGTGGTAATGACTATTTGCTGGAAGCAGCATGTAACACTGAATAACACAAAGACCCAAAGTGAGTGAAGCTCCAATAAATAATGAATGTCACAAAAAGTCAGTGAATCATTCTGGATCA